TTTCTTTCTTTCTTTCTTTCTTTCTTTCTTTCTTTCTTTCTTTCTTTTGCATTTTTATTTCACCCTTTTCTCTGACAGTCTCTGTTAGATCGCGGGAAAAGAGACTCGAGACCAGTGTGACTTTCAGCTCTTTATTTAGATCTTAAAATCTGCTCAAACCGCGGGGCCATGGCAGCCTCTTTTATTGACGGCTGCTCGCGGCTAGCGGCCAATGACAGCTGTTTGAATCTGCTGCCATCTAGATGGACCAATCGTAGGGTGGTAATATGGTCCAATCAGAGTAGGTTAAATGGGCCAATCAGCAAGCTGAATAGGTGGTCCAATCAAGGTGCAGGATTTCAAACATGTTAATATAGAACACCCCTCCCCTCTTGGTTTAGTCCATCCTATGTTACGTAGTCACGTAAGTAGGCGGGGCTTTTAGGGTGTCTACTTGACCTGCGCAGTTTAGTTGTGTTGTTGTCTTTGGTTAGTTCGGATGGGATCTCTGTTGCTCCTGTCCTTCTCCGTGGAACCTCCTGGAAGGGTGAGTCAGCCATGCCACTCCCGCCTGGTCTACCCGGGCTGGTTGAGTCGGCCATGCCGCTCCTGCCTGTCCTGTACGGGCTGGTAGAGTCGGCTCGGCTGTTCCCCTCCGGAGTGGCTTCGTGCTGGTTTCCCGCTGCCTGCTCCTTTCTACCGAAGTCGTCTTCAGGTGAGTATGTATGGTTTCTTACTGGGGTTTTGGGTGCTGTTGGTTGGCGGTTTATTGTTGGATTTTGTTGTGTTGTTTCTTGTGTTAGTGGAGGGTCTCCCCCTCCCTTTTTATTTGTGTTTGAGGGGTCTCCCCCCTCTCTGCTTTGGTTGTTATTATTTTTATTAAATGTTTGGCGAGGCTCTTATATGTGTGTGTGTTCTTCTCCCTCGCCTCTGGTTTCATTTGTGTTTCTTTCTAGTGTTCGTGATCTTAGTTGATCAATGTGTGTCCTCCAGCTTCTTCCGTCCTCTGTTTCCAGTCTATAAGATCGGGGGCCTGTTACCTGTGTTATTTTGGTGGGTATCCACAGTGGGTCTCCCGTGAGATTTTTTGCATAGACTAGGTCCCCTGTTCCGAATGTGCGGTGTTTGCTGGAGGAGTCTGTGGGTTTTTCATGGCTGTATGTCGGGTGTAGCCTATCTAAGTGTGATCTTAATTTCCTGCCCATTAACAGTTTGGCAGGGCTTTTATTTGTGGTGGTGTTGGGTGTGATATGTTGTATGGCTAGCATTTTGCAGATTTTTTCTTGGATGTCCCCTGTGTCTAGTTTCTCTAAAGTCTCTTTTGCGTAACGAACTATTCGTTCCACCTGCCCGTTCGTAGCCAGCTGACCCGGCGCTGTCAGGGCATGCCTTATGCCCTGTTCGGCTAGAAGTTTTTAGAATGTCACTGCCGTGAACTGCGGCCCGTTGTCTGAAACCAGTAAGTCCGGCAATCCATGCGTGGCCATCAGCTTCCTCAGCTGTCTGATGACAGCTTCTGTGGTTGTGGAGTTCATGGTGCTTACCTCCAACCAATTTGAGTAAGCATCTACTATTATTAAAAACGTGTGTCCCTTTGTTGGCCCTGCGAAATCAATGTGGATTCTCGACCAGGGTCCCCTCGGTGTCTCCCAATCGAGTACCGGTGCGGCAGGGGGTGTAGGCCTGGATCTCTGGCATTGGTTGCACGTTCCCACCCATGTCTCTATATCCTTGTCCATCCCTGGCCACCATACGTAACTCCTGGCCAGGGATTTCATCCTTACCATCCCCGGGTGTCCGTCATGCAACATATCCAGCACTTTTTCCCGTAATTTTTCTGGTATGATGACCCAATCCCCCCATAGTACACATCCCTTCAACATTGAGAGCTCAATTTGCCAGTTACAGAATGGTTTAAATGTCTCGCTGTTTTCCGTTTCCGGCCACCCTTTTCCTACTCAGTTTAAAACTCAGGCCAGCTGTCTGTCTTTTGCGGTTTCTTTCGCAATATCCGATGCGGTAATGGGTAGGTTTGGTAGAGTCTTGATTTGTAATGTGGATGTGGTTGGTGCCAGGTCGTCTTCCAGTTCAGGTAGGGGGGAACGGCTCAGGGCGTCAGCATGTGATACGTTCTTCCCTGGCCGGTGGATTAATTGTTATTGTAAGCGGCAAGGAACTCGGACCACCTTGTCATCCATGGTGACAATATGTTTGGAGTGGCCTTGTTCCCTGCGAGTATCCCCAAGAGTGGTTTGCGGTCAGTGATGAGTGTGAAAGTCCTACCATAGAGATATTCATGGAATCGTTTTATTCCGGTGATCGCTGCTAACGCCTCCCTGTCCAATTGGCTGTAGTTCCTTTCTGCCTTGGACAACGTCTTGGAATAGAAGGCGATTGGTGCTTCGCTTCCATCTGGTGGTGTGTGGCTGAGTATGGCCCCAACGCCAAATGGTGATGCGTCGCAGGTCACCGTCTGTGGCAGGGTTTCGCTGTATTGGATGAGTACCGATTCGGATGTCAGCAAGTCTTTTATTCCTTGGAATGTGGCTTCCTCCCGTCTGCCCCAGGTCCAGGTAGCTGTCTTATCTAGCAGTCTATGCAGTGGTTCCGCCGTTGTTGCCTTCTGTGGCAAAAAGACATTATAAAAATTAATGAGTCCCAGAAATGCTTGTAGATCTGTTTTGTTTTGTGGTCTGGGGGCTTCTTTAATAGCTTTTATTTTCTTTTCAGTGGGGTGGATCCCCTCTTTGTCAATTAGGTACCCCAAGAATTCAACTTTCTCCGTGGCTAGCTGGCATTTTTCTTTTTTTACTTTGAGTCCCGACTCCTGAAATCTTTGTAGGACTTCCCTGAGGTGGCTTTCCAATTGTTTCTTGTCCTTAGCAGATACCAGCACATCATCGAAGTAGGGCACCACCCCTTTAATCCCCTGTAATAGGCACTCCATTAAGCTTTGGAACACCCCTGGGGCCACGCTGACTCCGAATTGCAACCGTTTGTATTTAAATGCCCCCCTGCGAGTCACAATGGTTTGTGCCTCCACTGTTTTGGCATCAACGGGCAATTGCTGGTATGCCTGGGCCAGGTCGAGCTTCGTGAAGACTTTTCCTCCCCCAATGAATGTAACAGATGTTGCACCACTGGAACGGGGTATGCGCTTTGTTGTAGCACGTGGTTGAGGGTAGTCTTATAGTCTCCGCAGATTCTCACTGACCCATCTGGCTTAATCAGGGTGACAATTGGGGTTTCCCACCATGCATGGTCTATCTGTTCCAATACCCCTTGTGCGATGAGCTTATCCAATTGCTCATTGATCTTTGGTTTGAGTGCGAAGGGAACTCGCCTTGCCTTTAAACGGATTGGGGCTATATTTGGGTTTAAATTAAATGAGATAGGGGAGCCCCGGTACTTGCCTAGATTCCCGTCGAACACGTCCTGGAAGTCCCTCATCAGTCTCTCCTCCCAGTCTGTCTCGGTGACGCTGTTGATGCCCGTCACTCCGATCCCCAGAGGCGTGAACCATTCTAGCCCCATCAGGCTTGGGAGATCCCTGTCGAAGATTGTCAATGGAAGGATTTCTGAGTGTTTCTTGAATGTTATTTGAAAATGTCCAACTCCGACTACGGGGATCCGGTTTCCCTGGTAGTCCTTCAAGGTCAGTCTTTGGTTCTCTAGTTCTCTTCTCCGTATGCTGGGTATTAGGCGCTTTATTGTATCCCAGGACACCATTGACAGGTACGATCCACAGTCCACCTCCATGTTGCACTGTTGGCCCTAGATTTCAACCTGCACATGTACCTTTTGGGCATCGGTTGCATTCAAATGCCCAATGGTTATTGTTTGGTGGGTTTCTTCCTTCCGGCAGGATTCGCTGAGCCGCTTGCTTCTGCCTTTGTGGCTCCAATGGCTCCCCGTTTGTCTGTCTCTGGTCTGGGGGGGGGGGGGGGGGGGGCGGGGGGGGGGGGGGGCGTGCTTTCTCATCGCCTAGGGCTGTAGCTCTTCTTATTACAGCAGACCCTAGCAATGTGTCCCCGTTTCTCGCAGTGGAACCCCGACTTATGTCCTCTCCTTTCCTGTCTGTCTCGTTCCAACTGAAGTCTGTATTTCTTCCTCCTCATCGTTGGTCTCAGATAGGGATTCGACGTCCTCATGGTGCGCGGTAGTGGTGGTGGCTTTTGGGTTTCCCTCTGGCTTCTTCTCCTGGGGTTGACTTGTCTCTGTCGGTGCTTGCTGGGCCACCACATTCATTTGCCGCATGGCGGCTGCTGACTTTTTCGCGGCTTCGGCTGCGGTGGCCTCAGCGATGGCTTCGGTGACCATGATGTCTGGTCGGGTCAACAATTGGCTCTGCAAAGTGAGGTCCCTCAGTGCGAGAACCACGCGGTCCTCATGGCTTCGTCCATGTTAGAAAAACCGCATGCACCTCTGACGTTCCTTAGAGCCGCCACGAAATCCCTGACGCTCTCACCTTCTCTCTGGTCTCGTTTGTAAAATTCGTGTCTCCGGATAAGATTGGAGACGGCCGATGCATAATGGGCTCTCAGTAGCCGGTCCAGATCTGGCCACACCATCTGCTTTACGTCCTAAGATTTGGCCAATGCCTTGGCCATCTTAAAAACTGCAGGCCCACAGTGTGTCAG